CAAAGTGTCCTTTTTAGATAGTAAATTATACGATCACCTCATCACCAGCTCCCTCATGAGGCATCTGGGTTTGTCCAGATAGGCAATAAAGTTTCTCCTACTTTGGAGGAAGCTTCCCCCTCCCTGGAGAGCACTTACGAATGTAGCGCCCTGTCCAGTATCCTGGCTGCCCCTGCCTCACACCGTGATTTTAGTGGAGGGGTGACAATGGCACAGATCCCTCTCCACTACCTGAAGGCCACGAATCTTCATTCACTGCAGTGCCATTCTCCAGTTTATCATGAGGGCATGCTGGTGGGAAAGACTGCCGTGCAAATATCTTTCTGCGTGTTTTTATTAACTAAATCCTCCTTGATGAAACCCTTACCATGAATCCTATTGCCAAGCTGACTATGTCAAAGGGGGTTGGTGGGCTGGAAATTTAGACCGTGTACATAATCTGTGATTCTCTTATCAGGATGCCAGAGGTGAGTTATTTAAAAGGGTGGTGTTTCTCTTAAAAAAAAAAAAGGCATGCACTTCTCATTTCATTCAGAAGCTGCTTGTTTTGTTTTAGGAAAATTGCAGTAAAAATGAGAAAAGGCTGGAGGAGCAGAGTGAGGAGATGGTGAAGAGGGTGTTAGCCCAGTATGATGAGAGGGCCCAGAGCTTCGAGGAGGTGAAGAGGAGGAAGATGGAGTTCCTGCACGACCAGATGGTCTACTTCCTGCAGAGCATGGACGCTGCCAAGGACACACTGGAGACCATCGTGAGAGAGGCAGAGGAGCTCGACGAGACCGTTTTCCTGACTGTAAGCTCCGGCTAACACAGGCCCCGACACCTTGCACCCACTCTGGCCCAAGTCTGCTTTAAAAATTGTATTTTTCAATGTTCCCTAAGATCATTTATATACCTGTGTGTGTAGGGGGAGTTATTTATTTATAATTTTGACATTTAAAAACTTGGGGGGCATGCTTGATGCCTATGGAAAGGACCCGGAAAATCCTTAGCACCCCAATCCAGCTGCAGGATACATGGAAGTCAGGGCACAGCCTCATCTGTTCTGTCACAATGGGTTGGTGACCTTCTAAGAGAGAGGAGGAAAAGCAGCCTGAGAACCTTATACATGCCCTTCTCCTTTGGGGGCCTGGCATCGTCACGCTGGCCCCTGGGCCTGTCCTCTCCACTCCTAGTCCCTAATCTGAAGTGGCCCCTCAAAGGGACCATTCCCTCTGAGCCTCACCAAGTGGCTGAGAGTAACATTTGGTACACTTTCAATGCAAAGGGATGACATGTGATACCCCTCTCAGGTAACATGTTGATGTTTATATAAGGGTCTTCCTGGGAACCAGATTCCTTAATTCAAACAAGTACCTTGTGGACCGAGATTCCCTTGGGTGCTCCTCAGATTGCACCACAGAGGCAATCTAGTTCCCTAGAACATACAGTAAGATGCTGGTTCTCCGTGGAGCCAGGATTAACCAGGAGTAATGGAGGTATTTTCCTTGAGGGCAGTCCCAAACCTAATTATCAAACCAAAGGAAAGCCCCGTCTTATGATGAGTGGGGAACCTCCCTCCCTTTCAAAGCTCCCCAGTCCACCCAGCCCTTCAGTAAGGTTTGGAGATAGAGCAAGGCAAAATGGGTCAATGGCTTTGCATTTGCCTCTGGGGACACCTCCAGCCAGGGAAGATTTAGATGAGGTGGACTTGGCATCCTCAAACACAGTGAAAATCACTCATTACTTTATGTTTAACTAAGGCAAAGCTTTAATATTTTAAAATTAGACATCTCTTGCGAAGTATAATATTAATAAAGTGTTTGTGCTCCCTGTGAACCTAACTTTTGTTTGGTAAGCATATTTTCTTCTAAAAAAAAAAAAACCAACAGGAAAAAAAAGAATATTTTCTTTTCTCCAGAAGAACAAATTGTGAACAAGAAAGCCTTGTTTTTTTTCTGCTTATAAAAGAGATATATATCTATTTTACAAAATTTGGAAAAGACAGAAAAGCACAGAGATAACTACTGATTACATTTTGGATACATATCCAACACTGACAAATTTAAGTCATTTTCATTACTTCAGAGAATTCTATCCTGGAAGCCGTTTGTTAATGAAGAGAGAAGCAAAGTATAAGCAACTCATTGCTGGCCTTGCTGATCATGGAGGCCTAGGGCAGAACTGGAAACTAAACACCCTCCATCCCTGCCCTCCCTTCTACCCTTCCCATCCCTTCTGAGCATTAACTTCCTGCTGCCCCAGCTGAAGCCACCCAGGGGATGGTGAGGAGCAATGATTTTAAAACATGCATAACCTTAGTGCTCTAGGCTGGTTTTGTTGTTAATTTCTCTCTCTTTGTCTCTCTCTCTCTCTTTCTCTCCCGCCCTCTCATTCGCTCATAAGTCATTTGAGGAAATCAATGAAAGGTATATAAAACATGGCACAATGTAGTGGCACCTGAGAATAGCATGACTATGGTTTATTTTTAATATTTTGATGCTTTATAGAAAATGAGCTGCCAATTAAAAAATACATAAATTTAGTGAACTACTGGATTTTCACTTTTAGACACAGTGCTTTTAAAAATGAAATGACAGCTTTGAAAGAAAATTGCATGTGCTTTAGTTAAATAACAATTATTATAATGTAGATTTTTAACTGCTTCCTTTAGATGTAGTCTGTCTTTTCCACCTAATCTGGACCATCCTTCCTGTCACTGCATACAGAACATTTTGTAGATACTTAGACTTGTTAGTTAAATATGAGCATTTGAAAGAATCATTCATATCTGCCTTGAATAATTTTATGACTTAATGTAATTTTAATGGAACTTCTCTCATGTTCTCTTCAAAGGATAGGCAGGCATTTATCTTCCCTTTGTGCTCAGCTAACCTAAATGAATCTTCCTCTTTTGATTTGTTTTGGTTTTGCTGCTGTTTTTAGCACTCAGTCTAAGAGAAATTCTTTATTCATTTAAAAGCCAAAGCATTAACATGAAATTAGGAAATGTTGTCTATAAAAACATCAGATCTATGCTCATCTTTTGGAGCCTCTGATACTGAAAGGCTTATGCTGATCTGATACATTTTCTCTTTTGTCCCATAGCAAAACCAGAGGCCTTCCCTATGGTTGAGCCTAATTCTTTTATCTTTTTACCCCTTTAATGTAAATTTCTAAACTTGTAAATATTACCTTCCGTTTACTTCAATGCCAAATTGTAAACTATCATAAAGTAAAATCACAAATTTGTATTTGTGATATATTAAAATGTGGAAAAATGATTTTGGATTAGAAACCTAATTTTTTACATAACAAAAACAGTACAGATGAACTTGTTTACCTTTAAAAAGCCTATTCAACAGAATATCGCCCATACATTTAAAAAATAATTTGTATATAAATATTGGCATTAATCAATAAGGGTTTTATTACAGTGGCTCTGTCACAAATAGAATCACCCAGGGAGCTTTGAAAGCGCTGATGCCTGAATCTTACCTCCTGAGATTCTGGTTTAATTGGTCTGAGGTAGTCTGGGCATTTTTAAAGCTTCTTGGGTGATGTTAATGCACAGCCAGGGTTGAGAACCTCTGGTTTATAGCAGCCTGTCGCCTGGCTCAGTGGTTTCCCCAAAGTGGCTGTGCCTGAATTAGATGTGCAGTTCGTTAAACCAGAGCTCCTGAAGCCCCAGCCCAGATCCACTGCAGAACCCAGGGTGGCCCAAGGCGTCTGCATGTTTTCCATTTCTCACACAGGCAGGTCTAGGAAGGGATGCCCAGGCCTTGCTCCCAGTTTCCTTTGTTTTAAAAAACATATACATTTCTTCTGCATACTATTGATAATTATCTTTATCCAAAAAGTGTATGGATTTACAGTGCCATTCCTTATACACTGGACATGTCGATGCATATTTGCATATTACATTTCACCCACCCATGGAAAACACTGATGGGCAGGAAAATTTGGTGAATGAAAATTTGCAAACACTTTTACTTTAAAAAAATGCTAGAGTACATGTTTACTTTTATAAACATTAGAATATTAACTTGCTAGTATGAATTGACATCCATTTAATCCTAAGTTCCATTTCTTTGGTTTTGTGCTTGAACTTGTTGATCCGTGTGTCATTTTCATTAATCTTGATTTCATTGTCCAGTGGACGGTGAATTAACCTTTGCTAAAGCTGCATGCCACCTAAAGGAGGTTACACTTGGGATAACCATTGTTTTCCTGTAAAGAAAAAAGCAAAAATCCGGATTTGATAAAGAAATATGATCAAAGAAAACTTGTGCGCGCACACATGATGAAACTTGATTGTGTCACTAAGAGGCCTTTCATGTCCTCAAAACAACTTCTACTCCAAGGTCCAGTTTCTAGGAGAAGTGCTAATTATCTAGTTGGTTGTGTGTTTTTTCCCCTTCATATTATATCTCTAAAGGCAGTGCTCATAGAGTAAATGATTTTTCTCACCCCTGGAAGTGCTTAAAGTAAGGAACGCTATCAAGCGTATTTAGAATCAAAATTTGCATATTTTGAAAAACACATTTGCTTAGAAAATGCTGTTCTGTTGAGAGGATGCATTCTTTTTCTTTTTTGTGCTCTTTTGTGTTATAATAATGAAAAAAAGAGTCACAACCATTGTAGGACCTGCTCATAAAAGATGTTCACTTGCCCTTTCGTATATTGATGTTAAAACTGGGCAGGTCAGTGCAGAAGGGAAAATGCAAACTTTTTACTTGTGGTGTCTACAACCAGAGTTTTTGTGCTACAAAAATCCTCCATTTAATCAGTGGCATTTTTTGAGTGGCCTTCGTAAAGGGACTAGTCGTCGTCATCTGTCCATTCTGTCCCTTCTCCCTCTGCAGCCCCAAAGCCTTAACTGAGGCCGGTGCTGTGTCCCTGCCCTGGAGCGCCGTGGGGCCGCCCGGCTGACCTCAGGGCCCTCTAGTCCACTTGCCCGGTTCTTCCCCGCTCGGGCCGGGGCGTTCCTCTCCGCTTCCCTTTTGCGAACACTCCCGCAGCTCCCCCTGCCTTGAAAGAGAAAACGGGAACTCTTGGCGGATGTGAAAGGCTCTTCACAGCCAAACCACAGATCACCTTTCTCTCATTTCCTAGTGAAATTTCCATTTCCTCGTTCTCAGAGTAGCCCTGGATCGCCCCTGGCTCTGTCGCATGCTTTTATCCAAGCCGTTCTCCCTGCAACCTCCTTACCCCCGGTCCTGCCTAGGAAACTCCTACTCATCCTTTAAGATGCAGCCCAAATGTCACCTCCTCTTTGAAGCCCCCATTGGAATCGTCTCCCTAAATCAAATGATAGTGAGTTTTATTATACCTAACACTAGTAACCATAGTTGGCACTCTTTAACTATTTCAGTTATATTTTATAATCTTTTTCCCTCCCATTGATAAAAAATTTATGACAACCGAGATCCTGATATTCTCACCTAAATAAAACTTTACCCTCTTATACATTCAAATTTATTTATTGAATGCCTGCTGTGCGCCAGGTTATACATTACAATATAGCAGGGAACGAAACAAAGTCCTTTCCTGCACGAAGGTTATATTCTGATGAAGTAGACAGACAAAAACAAATAGGTCACAACAAGTTTGAGAAAATAAAACGCAGCAGAGTGAGGGGTAGACGCAGCTCGGCGTTTAGTGTCCTCGGGGCCGGCCTCTCTGAGGGGCTGACATTTGAACAGAGATCTAAATTAAGTGAGAAAGGGGCCATACAGGCATCTGGGCTAAGACAGTTCCAACCGCAAGTGCAAGGGCTGTGGTTCTGTGCTCCCCAAACCAAAAATCCGCAGTGCTGAAGCCGATGGAGCTCCTCGAAGCCGGTTCATTGCTGGAAGATAATTCCCTCCTCTGAGGGAGGTGCACAGAGGCGGGCTCTTAATCCAAGCCGAGGCCCTCAAGCTACAGATGAATGTTTTGCCACCTCTTTTCCCCTCTGCAGAATCAAGATGTTTTTTCAAAAGCCCAGATTTCCCCTAGATACAAATGCTAAAAGTTAGTATTTATGGGCCTCTCTCCTTAGAGGGTCTTCAGTTTATAAAAGCTGTTGGTTTGTAAAGCGTGGCTTGTTTAGTTGTTTAAGAATGGATAGACTTTACCCTCCCTCAGTGCTGTACCTCTCTCTCCGGCACAGTGACTGGCACATAGTAGGAGCACATATTGTTTGAAAGACTAAATGACTAGAAGCATGACAATGAGGGTTGAGAGCAGCAGAGACATCATACAGTGTGTGAACCTTTATGTCATTAGGAAATAAATAAAAATAATCATTAAAATGTAATTTTTAGGACTAATTTTATAGGTGCAAAATGAAAAATTGTATAATTTGATGGAATCTACTCAGATTTAAGGATATAGGAATGGAATTTCTAATATTAGCAGTTATACCAAAAATCTTAAGAATAAATAGATTTTAGACATACATTTCTAGACTCTGAAACAGTTTAAATCCTTTTTGGATGCAGTGCCTCACAAAAATTACCACTAACAACAACTTCATTTTGAACAATCGTTTTACCTTTCATTCTGTCTGCTAATAATTTCTTGACTTACATAGAAATATTTTCCCCAAACAGGTTGCTTTCTGCAATGGAGAGTACTGCTTCTTTAGAGAAAATGCCTGCTGCGTTTTCACTTTTTGAACATTATGATGACAGCTCGGCGAGAAGTGACCAGATGTTAAAACAAGTGGCTGGTAGGCATTTTAATATCTTAAATAGCTTGGTGAAATTTGGCGGTTTTTCCGTGTTTGTTTTTGAATGTAAGGAAATATAACTGGAAAAAGGAAAATCTTCCTTGTAAACATTTGAAGCCAGATTCTGAAATCAAGCGTGAGACTAGTATACCATTTTGGTTATAAACTACATTTCCATTTGCAGCTCTATGGCTGCCCTGGGATACTGAGGAGGTGGAAGAATGTAGCAATAGAACCTAAAGGTCTCCTCTTATTTTCATTGTCAAGTAGGATTTCTCTCCCTCTCTTCTAGGGATTATTTGCTTCATGCCAGCAGCCAGCTAGAGAAGGAAAAATAAATAAAATGTTTTCATATGTACTGAACAGGTTTTTCCTTATGAGTGGTTTTCCCCTCTTCAATTGAGTTTTCTTTTTTTTAAACTAAACAGATTAGCTTTAGAAGAACTAACAGCTCAGCATCATGCTCTGCAGCCAGGAGCCTCCCACTCAGCTGTCAGAAGCATCTTGCCGGTGCTTCAAAATATTTTTTTTAATGTGCTATTTTAACAAACAAGACAATGAAGCGTATTTAAATTTCTCAAAAGCTGCCGTGTTTCAGTCAAGTTACCAAGTTCCACTTACTGTAAAATGTACTCGGATGTCCTCCTTAAAAGATGCTATGTTCTTTCAAAACCACCTTAAAGATAGCTGCTGTTTTTCAATTGACAAGTAACTTTCATTCCTGTAGGAAGAGTGTTCATTTAGTAGCTGGTAAAAGGCTACCGTGTCTTTAAAAAGACCAAAACCCTACCAACCCTATCCAAAATGAAAACTGCAGTCGTTTATCCTAATGGATTTTCTGTAGAAATGTCTCAAAACAAAAGGGTGCTTTCTTATAATGTCTTTAGGAGGCATTTAAAGTGATTGCAAACTAAGAAATTCTGATTAACAGAGTAGATCTTTTGCTTTTAAGGGATTCATTATATGCTGTTGTTCATTTAGACCAGGGGTGGGAAACGTCTGGCCTGTAGGCTGTTGTGTACGGCCCTAGAAATAACTTGGTCTGGCCCTGCCAAGGCAACCGCAGGTGAGATTCTAAATTCAGTAAATCTAGGAGCTTTTTTCATAGCCAATTTTTAAGTTGATAATTTTGTATGGCGGAGAATGATGTTATAAATATCCAAATGGCCCTTGGCAGAAAATAGGTTCCCCAGCCCTGATTAAAATGGGTATTTTTTTGAATACCTGATGGGCAATGAGAGGACATTCTATATGTTTTAGGGGTCACAGAGTTAAACTGTCATTTTGAAATAGTAGTGCCCGTGGCAGTCCTAGTAGTTCTAAGCCGTTTTGGGGAAGCTGATCTCTGAGAGATAAATGCTGTGGATTGTACATCTGCTTCACAGAATTGGAGCCCAGGGTTCTGACTTGTTGCTAAATAGTTTTTGTTCATTTTGTGACCAATGACAGCTCTCAGATATAAAGTCCTCACCTGGTACCTGAAGAGCTAATTGGATCACTCTGTAAACTAAACAGACATAATGAGGAAAGGATGTGGTTTTTCCACTAATGTTTATTCCACACAAACATGATGCCTGGCACTCTGGAGGCTGTTAGGCATATCTTACCATCTAATCTCACAACCCTAGGAGGTAGGTTTTATTGTTACTCCCATTTGACAGGTGAGGAAATAGAAGGAGCAGAAAAATGCCTCTCACATTGCCCTAGATACACAGCTGTTGGGGGGTTGAGGTGAGGACTTTGGCTCAGAGCCTGCACTTGAACCATTGCTCTACACCTAAAGGCGGGGTGCATTGTATGAAAGGAGAGGTAACTGTAGATTAGAGACAACCGAGGCTTCCTTGACTCTGGTTCCTGGGGCCTTTTTTAAAAAAATTGTGGTAAAATGTCCATAATGTAAAATTTACCATTTTAACCGTTTTGAAGCATACAATTCAGTGGTATTAAGTACACTTACATTGTTGTACAGCCATTGCCACCAGCCATCTCCAGAATTCTCTTCATCTTGCAGAACTGAAACTCTGTACCTGTTAAATATAACTCTCCATCCCCTACCCCAGCCTCTGGCAGCCCCCATTCTACTTTCTGTTTCTATGAATTTAACTACTCTAGGTACCACATATAAATAGAATCATATAGTATTTGCCTTTTGCGACTAGCTTATTTCACTTAGCACAATGTCTTCAAGGTTTATCTTTGTGTCAGAATTTCCATCCTTTTTAAGGCTGACTAATATTCCATTGTAGGTCTATACTGCATTTTGCATGTCCATTCACCCATCAATGTACACTTGCGTTCCTTCCACCTTTTGGCTACTGTGAATAATGCTGCTCTCCCAGGGACTTTTTTGAAAACTGGCTTGAGTGGGAACCTGAATCTGGCCCAGGTCCTCAAGTCCAAGCTGGTCTAATGCTTAGCTCCCTTAGTGTGACTGCTCTGTATGGGACACTTCATCAGACAGAGGGAATCTATGGGGATGATTCCTCTGACCCACTCCTTAGCCTCTGGCAAAATCTCCTTTTGTCTTTACTACTATTCAAGTTCATTCCTATAGAAGTGTAAACAGAGTTGCTAACACAGAAAATCTAAGTCTCTGATGTTTGTGTAGTGCAGGAATCGTAAATCCATTCATTGCTTTTCATTTACATCTACGAAATGTTTTTGTTCCCTTTTTAATTTTAGAATACTTTAAAAAGTAAGAATATTTCCTGTTTTTGAAAAAGAGATGTTCTAACTTTAATGTTTTGAGGAGAAGGAGCACATTAAGTACAGAATTCTTTCTAGCCTACATGTTTTGCTTAATTCCCTATGACTGCTTCTTCCTTAAAATTTGGTGATGGCCAGTGGGGTGGGGTGGGGTGGGTCAATTATTAGTTTTTAAGTTGGTTAAGCTACCTGAGAGAGATTTTTGAAAAGGTGTTACCATTTTTAAAAAGCAGATATTGCTCAATGTATAATTCATGAAACAAACAAACAAACCAAACCAGGAGCAGTTTCAACGTTCATGCCTCAAGGAGTTCTCCAACGCTGTTTCAGAGACAGCTGACAATAGTTGAAGCATTCTGCCTGGCCCTTCAGTAAACCTGGGCAACATGAAAAGTGACTGCACTACGTTTATCTGGATGGACTCCTTTAGAATGTGACACTGATTTCCTGCTGCGAAGACAGACAGTGAAGTCAAAGACAGCATACGGATCTCTGAGCCGTTCCCAGTGCTTGGGGAGGTGCTCTGACAGGCAGGCTTCCTGTCTGGTCGCACAGCCTGCTCAGCATGCATTGCCTCCGATGTCCCTCTCTGAGATGGTGGAGGATATTGCTGTCGTTAAAATTCAGAACAATAGGGTCATACTAGATATCTGAACCTTATATTTTAATCAGTGAATACGGCACTTTTCCCCCTATGCAATTTTTACATTTTGTTTAAATTTCTTCTTAATTTGTAGGTATGGTCATTCTGGAAAGAGAAAGTAGGACAGTAGTTTCAGAAGGTGCATTTTGTTTTATTGATGCAAGTCTTTTTCAGCCTCGATGATACAGCACCTATAGCTACAAAGGGTTTCATTTGCCTATTGTGAAAATAGACTCTATATTGACGTAGACGGGTACACCATTGGTTCTCCAGCAAAGCATACTCAAGCTTTTGCTTCAAAGAAAATCCAAGTCATTTGGTGTATCCTCTAACCTGTGTAAGTTAATTTCTCTAAATATAGAACTATAGAAGAATATTCTCAAGTGACCCTACTTGGGGATCCACTTTTATTTATTTCTATGTGTGTTATATGTACACATATACAGTTGCATAGAAAGCATTTTGGAGGGATACACAGTCAACCATAGCAGAGGAATGTCCTTGAGGTTGGGGGTAGGGGAGTGTTGGGGAAAAGGGGAGTTTTACTCCATGTATTTCTGTATTGCTTGAATTTTTTGTAAGTGACTTTTGAAAAAAGAAAAATCAATCAATAAAAATAATGTTAGTTATAATAAATCTTGTGTATATTCCAGTTCCACAGCCTCCTAGGTTAGAACCTCAGGAACCAAATTCTGCCACGAGCACAACAATTGCGGTTTACTGGAGCATAAGCAAGGAAGACGTCATCGACTCGTTCCAGGTTTACTGCATGGAGGAGCCGCAGGATGACCAGGAAGTAAACGGTAGGGTTACTAATACAAATGCAGGGGCACGGGTACATTTTTGCATCTTAATGTGAGGTATTTAAGCCCATATATCATGGCCCTTTCTGTAGGGCATTCACAGCTACTTATCAAAACAACAACAAGTGTATAATGAAATAGAAGCAAAATTTGGAAATCGGCCTAAGGGAAAACAAAAATGCATAAATATCATACTGGTCAACATAATTGCTGTAATTGAGATTCAGATTTGACTTTGAGCTCTCAGGGTAACAGGAGCATTTACTGATCCTCATTTTCAGAGAGGAGGTAGCATGCAAGAGTTTCAGGGAGAACAACTGCAATCAGTACTGAAGTCAAAAGCCAAGTGTAATGGGCGCCACTTTGTGGAGGAAAAAAGAGCTGTATGGGACAGTGACTTCCACAATAATTTTAATGCAAATGCACCATTAGATGTCATGGTTGGCATTTTCTCAGATCCACCTTTGATAAAAGCTATAAACAAACTATAAAGGTTAATTCAGAGTTCACACTTCTCAAGGCATGGGCCTAGTGTCCCATATTAATGTGCAGATAGAGGTAAACGAATTTAGCAGGGTGAGTGGGTAGCATGTCTTATAGCTGAGCCTCTGCGAAGTATCTCTGTGGTTAGGAGGACTTCTAACAAGACCTGGAAGCCAAGCAGTTTGAGGCTGTACTTACCGAGTGAGAGCTGGTAGGGCAGCATTCTGTTTTGCGTGTTGAAGCATAAACAGATAGGGTGGGCAAAAGCAGGGTTACAGTTGTGAATATGTGAAACAGAGTTTATTCTTGTAGTATTATTTATTAATTATTGTATTATTGTCCATGCAAACAACTGTAAAACTACTTTTGCCCCACCCTGTAATTTAGAAATCAGATGATCATGTGGCAGGATTGACACGCCACATGTAATAAGGAATTAATTATAATATATTTCACTGTTGCCAATATTTAAGTCTTTTGAGATGTCATGTGATTCTTATTTAAATTAGAAAAAAAGTTAAAAAAGCAACCACTGGCATAGTGTAAAGTTGGCTTTGCCCATAAGAATTTCTATTTTATTGGGAACCTATTACCATATAGCTGTGACAACACAGCAAGATAAGTCCCCATGTGAAAATGAGAAACTGATGTGAGGTTAAATAATTTGCCCAAGGCTGCACAACTTATACATGACAAGGGCAGGATTCAAACACAGATCTTTCAGACTGCAGCTTATATTTTGGTTTGCTTGACTCTGTGTTTGTTTCGTTACACAGTAGTCCCCCCTTATCCAGGGTTTCACTTTCTGAGGTTCCAGTTACGCATGGTCAACCTCAGTCTGAAAATATTAAATGGAAAATCCTGGAAATAAGCAATTTGTAAGTTTTAAATTGCACAGGTTCTGAGTAGCATGATGAACTCTCGAGATGTTTTGCTCCATCCCGCCCCGGATGTGCATCATCCCTTTGTCCAGCGTATCCACCCTGTACATGTTCCCTGCCCTTAGTGGCATGGTAGGTACATCTTGGTTATCGATTGACTGTCCTAGTAGTGCAGCACTTGAGTTCAAGTAACTTATTTTACTTAATAAAAGCATAAGAGTAGTAATGCTGGCAGTTGAGACATGCCAAAGAGAAGCAATAAAGTGATTCTTTTAGATAAGAAGGTAAGTATAGTGCAATAAGATATTTTGAGAGAGAGACTACATTTGCAGTCACATAACTTTATTATAGTATATGGTTATAACTTATATTTTATTATTAGTCATTATTAATCTCTTACTGTGTCCAATTTATAAATTAAACTTTATTACAGGTATGTATGTATAGGAAAAAACACAGTATATTAAGGTTCAATGCTATCTGCAGTTTCAGGCATCCCTTGGGGGTCTTGGAACATACTCCTCTTGGATAAGTGGCAGATACTGGACCACACTTCCTCTCCCTGTATATCCAGTTATGTCATGGAACTTCATGGCTCGCCAGGATTCCTCTTAGCAACTATTTCTTGCCTGTAGTACCTTTTTTACATGCTTCACCTGCCCCCACCATTCCCCAAACACTACTTGTCCCGTGTCACATTCATTCGTTCAATGCCTTGAACTCTGCTAGTGCCAGCTAATTAGTCTGATGATCTACACTGTGATGCCGTGCTGTGTGAAATAGGTGTCCAGTAACCTAAGTTATGTACATTGTTAAAAGTACTGGGGTAACAGGACTTAGCCTGAAAGGCTGATTGTATTGAAAGCTGCAGCCATACTTTATAGGCCATGGGGGAAATGTTTTTCAGTGAATGTGTAAGTCCTTATATCATTATCTAAACTAAACATTCTGTCCAGAACATATAACTCATTGGGAAAGAGAAATGCAATAGAAGAAACCTGCTGAGTTGAAAAGCTCCTAAATTTCCTTTAAAAGGAAACAGTCTGGGTTTCTTAACTGGAGGAGATTTGAGCATGTGACCGTCCAGAAGAATAAGGGAGGAAACTGAAGCCACCCTAGGCTAATTGTTTTAATTGTTCTTTTTAAGGAGAGAAAGTTTCAGTAAGAATAACCAGTTGGCCCAAAGGGACTGGTATTAAGAATGGTATTGAGTAATATCTATACTGCTAAAATATTGAAAGCAAAATAGCATAAATTTTAGGAAATGTCTTGATGAACAGTTACTTCTTAGAATAGTTTATGTCCTATCAAAGTTGTTTAAGTATGGCCATAAGTTGTGGGAATCCCTAGTTGAAAGAATTTTGGAATTCATTAGAAGGGACCAGGATGTGAAACTATGAAAATCATACTGAAGCCCTAGCTGGCTGCTCAGTGGTTAGAGCGTTGGCCTGGAGCGGACTGAAGGTCCCGGGCTTGACTCTGGCCAAGGGCATGCACCTCAACTGCAGGCTCAATCCCCTGGCCCCGGTCAGGGCTCGTGCGTGCGGAGGCAGCCAATCGATGTGTCTCTCTCTCTTCCTTTCAGTCTCTCTCTGAAAAAGCAATGGAAAAAATGTCCTTGGGTGAGGGTTAACAAAAAGAAAAAAAAGAAAATCATGCTGAATACTAAAATGGTTTGCTAATCTGTAAAGATGCTTTGTACCATTGTAAGTTTAGAAAACATATGGTTGTCCTGTTTTATTACACATTCCCCTAAAATATTGGCATTGCTTCTCAGGGATTATCTTGAGAATGTATTATTGAGATTTAAGCTAACATAAACTCTGCAATTTTAGTATTTGCTATTGAAATGTTACTTTAATTATAGTATATGAAGTTCAGAATCTTAGTAATATGCTATTATTTTTTATACGTGTTCATAAGTAATACTATGTCATTCTAAATATCTCTTTTCAGAATGCTATTGCTTTCTTATGTATTCTAAAGTGATAGCTATCACATAATGGTATCTGTAAGCTTATCAGTTTAGGTTTTCTATTGAAAAAAGTCATAGACCAATTTTTCAAATAACTATAATTTTCATTTAACTTTGGAAGATGCCCTAGAGTTAATGATTGTGTTTTTTGCTAGAGTTGGTAGAAGAATACAGAGTTACAGTGAAAGAAAGCTACTGCATTTTTGAAGATTTGGAACCTGACCGATACTATCAAGTGTGGGTAATGGCTGTGAACTTCACTGGATGTAGCCTGCCCAGTGAAAGGGCAATTTTTAGAACAGGTAAGGAGATGTTAAGGGGGTATTAGGAAGCAATAATCAATTCTTCACAGACTATTAAGATCAACCAATAAACATTTATTAAGCACCTATTGCATGCTGGGTGTTGTGCAGTGCTGGGTATACAATGACGAATAAAGCTGGGTTCCTGTTCTCAAGAGGCTCATAATCAAGTGGGGGAGATACAAAATAGATCATTCCAAAACGCTGGCGGTAAGGGTCCTGATCCAGTTATACACGGGTTCTTAGGAGAACACTTCAGAGGGGTACCAGAGACAGCCTGGGGTGGGGCAGAATCAGAAATGCCTTCCTAGAGCTGGTGCCTGAATGAGCTCCTTTAAAGGATCAGTAGGAAATAAAGTGTTAAAGGAATGTATTCATTTGAAGAAATCTTATGAGCAGAAGCATTGAGGTAAGAAATAGTATGGAGTGTGCAGGACAAAAAAATTAGTTTGGTGTTATTTCTTTGGCTTCAAAACAAAGACGAAAGATATGAGGTGAGAAAGAGTAGTTAGTGTGTATAGAGCTCATGTTTACTAAGCTAAGAAGCTCAGGCTTTATCATAAGGGTGCTAGGAGCCCCCAAAAGGTTTTTCAATGGTGGTTTTAGCTGAGAATGCATTCCCACGATGGAGTCTTCCCACAGGGGCTGAGCAGGTGTTGCATAAGTGAAGTTTGAATTGCCTTAAAGATCATTGTAACTACCTCAGGGGAATCAATGACTTACTCCTACTGTTTTATCTTTTTTTCTTGCCTTTTAAAGCAAATATTTATTGAGCACCTACTAAAGGCAAAATTATGGCTAACTTTTGTGTAGAGAGAAGGGGACAGGAATCTTTATTTTTATTTGCTTGTATAAATTTAAAGAAACTTGGATAAGATTTATAGGAAGCTAATATTGGAAGTTGGTTGGGAATGGGTGAAAACTGGGCAGTTTGCAAGGCAGGGGTGGGAGGGAGATTTTTCACTGTATAAATTTTCATACCTTTAGGGTTTTCAACTCAGAATGTACTTTTTATTAAAAAATTAAAATAAAATTATACCCAAGCATTCTTCCCAGGTTCCAGGGAAGCAGAACTGGCACTCATTGCCCCACAACTGACTTGGTTCTCTCTCTGTAGCACCCTCCACCCCTGTGATCCAGGCCGAGGACTGTACCGTATGTTGGAACACGGCCACCATCCGCTGGCGGCCTGCCAACCCAGAGGCCACTGAGACCTACACCCTGGAGTACTGCAGACAACACTCTCCGGAAGGCGAGGGCCTCAGGTGAGAATCCTCCACAGGGAGACCTCACCTCCCAGCTCAGGGACCAAAGCTAACCCCTGAGCTTATGCTCACAGAGGGGAAAAAGCTTCCTAAAACCCTGCTGAACCAATTAAATTGGCTTGATTTGCAACTCCATCACTATTCATCAATGAACTCCAAGTTTGTAATAAAACGTATGCTACAATGCAGAATAATAACTCCCTTGTGAAAAAAATGTATGTGAACATTCTTTGAGGTATATTTAACTTGAGTCATTAGACAGGATTTATGCATATTTTATGCTCATTTTATTATAATTATTTTAGTAATATCAGAATGGGTACCACCTAACTCAGGAAACTAATGGTGAGCTTGTGTACAATGTAAATATGTATTTGTAATGTATAAATGTAAAATGTAAATTTGAATGTCTCTGTAATATATTGCTAATACTAAAAGAGCTAATTAAATATATAATCACAGAGACATACTTGCCTCTCCAAGAGCATGAAGAATCTAGAGATTTTGCAGGAAAAAAGAAATATAAAGCTTTCTTACTAAAATTATAAAGCTAAAATTTATCAGTAAAGGCCTGTGCATCCAATGGGCATGTGGTAAATGTTAGTTTATTTACTGAGGCTGTGTTTTCTTAATCTCCTTCATGTTCCATGATGAATATTCAGATCATTTTTAATATTCATATTTTGATAGAGACATTTTCCATTTTTTAAAAAACCAAATTCACTGAGATAAACTATAGTGGTAGGTTATTGAACTTAGAAATAATGGTATGAAATTAGACAGCCTTTCAGTAAAGTGTATTATTAAGCTCTTATTTTCATGATAAATCAACAGCTATTTATTTCGTTATGATGTGAGGTTTCATACAACTAAACAATAATTATAGTTTCTTTCAAGTGTGTGAAGACAGGCTTCACAAAATAATAATAATAAAAGGATGAGTTAATGTTGAGTGGGGGGTGTACCGGCGGGACACATTTGAGCAGAAGTGAGAACAGAGTCAATGTGCATCTCTTTTAACTGCCCGGTGCTGAAGGCAGGCTTCTGTGCTCAGCAAATAACTGAGAGGTGAGAGCAGGCCAGGCCAGAGGAGTGGGGAGAGGGGAGGGGGGCCAGAAGAGG